ATATATATATATATATATATATATGATTGAAAAATGCTAAGTTAGGGTAAAATATTTTTTGGAATCTCATATCAGCAACATTAATCACTACAAGTAGTTTACAATGTTTGATTGACAAAAGTTTTCTTATTAGTAAGCTAAGAATAATAAGAAAATATTTTTTATACCATTAGGATCTTGTAATGGAGATTCTTTATCGCACCATTTCTGCTTCCTCTCCAAGTAATTGTGTGCATCAATTTCTGATGATAAAAGAAACAAAAATTAAGGATGTAAATTACAAAATGAAAAACCTGCGATTCAAATTTTAGATCATATAGGTTGGAAGCAGCATAACTTTCATTTTGGTGGGGTAAAAATCATCTCATATTAACGCTCCGAGACCGACACTCCCGAGATATCAGGATTCAAGTCCCTAGAAGACAATTCTCCCTCCTTATCATTATAGTTGCCACTATAAATAAAGAAACATTAAATTCTGAGGTAAAAATTTAAAGAAACACATCATGGTGGCTACATATAATTAATTTTGGGGATTTAACCCCTTCTCTTTTGGTGGTCATTCTTTACTGTATGTGGCAAAACTGGTATTTTTCTTGCAGTTGGAAAAAACAACAACTGATTTATTAAAACCAGTTTTATGATTTGAAAATTGTAAGGATGCGTTTCTTGAATTTAAACACTCCACCTTAGGATGCCCATCACGATTACAAAGTTTGAATGCCTTTTTGGGGATGTCAATAAAACTTATTAAAATGGAATTTCATAGGTAGCATTTTCTATATTCTGTTTTACAAGCTAATAATATCTAATGATTCCTACATATTTCAGAATTACAAACAACTGAGATTCCACAGATAGTGTGAGTGCATGAACAACTTTTCCTACCCTAAAACAACGCATTGTTCTTCTATCTTTTTGTTAAACATTATAAAGTGTGTGTGTGATTACAAATCAGGAAATTGGGATCTTGAGGTAATTTTTTTGGAGTAAAATAAAAATAAGACAAGATTCAAATTTTAATAGTAAATTGGTGACAAGTAACACTGAAAGCACTTTTACCAATGATACTGCAGGAGGTCGAGCCAGCCTTAGAATGTGCAAGACCTAAAAGGTAGGTAATTTGTAAAACTATCTTCTATAAGTCAAATAACAATTGTTCAAAAACATATAATGCCACAATATCACTACACACACTCTCACTGGTTGGCATGGCATCACAATATCACTACACACACTCTCACTGGTTGGCATGACATCACAATATCACTACACTCACTCTCACTGGTTGGCATGGCATCACAATATCACTACACTCACTCTCACTGGTTGGCATGACATCACAATATCACTACACACACTCTCACTGGTTGGCATGACATCACAATATCACTACACTCACTCTCACTGGTTGGCATGACATCACAATATTAGTACACACACACACACACACACACTCACTGTTTGACAAAATAGCAATAACCCACTTTTAACTTTTCTTTTCAAATATCACACATTTATCAGCTTTATGAAATCAACTTCAGCAGATATAATTAAATTATATTCTCTTAAATTGGTCATGACATATAATCAAGACTATCGTATTGGATTTCAAACTTCAAGCATGAGGCCCAAAGCAACTGTTTAGCTTGCATCGTCTTAAGGCTGGCTCTGACAGGTGTAAGAAGACTGCGTTACGGTAAAACCCCAACATATCCCATTTGACAAAGAAAGATCAACTAAACATGAAATTATCGATGAACAGTACAAGAAAACATCATTGTTTGGTACCATGCCTCGAAAACTGTGGAAAATAAAATAATATAAATCATAAAAAAGAAACAGCAAAATTTAGAGACAAAGTAAAATAGGAAATAAGGTAAGCCTAAGTCATATCCATGAAAATGTAACAATTTCAACAACGTGTGCATATAAGATATACCGATGCACCAAGTCCCTGGCAATATTAGGAAATCACAGGACTTATGCTCAGTATTTTGTTATTCCAAGGTACAATACTACTCAACAAACCTATCTGTCCCCAATGGAATACTGATGTAAAACTTGGAAAGTTGGATTATCATTATGCATCAGTATATATGTGTTTGTAGCAATTGCATCTGTGGTACACACTGGAAACAAATATGATCATATACTCTGCAGAAGAAACATTCTTAACCACAAATTCCAGCTCTATAAACAGAAGTAACTGGTCAAAAAATTATTATATCTGATTTATTGATTTAGAGTAATTCCAAAAATAGTGGCAATAGTACTAGATTACCTGGTTGATAACGTAGAACTAATAAACATTTTCAGATAAATAAAACCATTTTTTATGTAAAACATTACTTGTATTTATACTTGTTTTTAAAGGTACAAAATGTAAATATGTTTTACTATTAAAACACAATTTTTTGGAGATGTTATACAACATTATTTAACGTCAAATCAACTTAGGCAAGTATTCAGGTGGAATGTCTAGGACACACAGATGTCACCTGTTTTTATTTGCTAGGGGAAAAATATGGGAGATGGCTTGAATGGGTAATGAAGAAAAACTTTAATATAAGTTAACATAACAGCAAATGTACAACGTACCTGATGATGACAAAGCCTTGTCGAAATGTTGTACATTTACTATTATGTTAACTTCATTACCCATTCAAGCCGTCTCCAACCATTATATTTATATAAATTATTAGCAATAATAGTATAAATAGTAATATAAACAAATAAAAAATAGGGGTCTTTTCCGTTTGGTGTCCACCAACAGATCGTTTTGAAAATAAACCAGTAATGCAATAAAATAAAATAGTTAATAATAAAACATTATTTTTTAGATAAATCTTTCATCTTTGTTTCTGTTTCTCCATATAAATTCACAAAGATAAAGAGTCAAACATTTGGCAATTAGTTCCACATTGATGTTTTTTTATTGTTGGTGGGCATCAAACGGGAAAAGATCCAAAAATAGTAATACAAGTAATGATGACTTGATAAGAGCCATGTCTGATACAGCAAAAGGGGAACAAAACAAACCATAAAGGCAATGCTATACTAAGCTCAAACAGGAAAATTAGCAAGCTGACAATCAGTAATCAGCAAACGTCCATTAAGCAGGGAAGCAAGGACCTATAACGTCAATTTTGATGCTACGACCTGTAAATCCAATGCCATAAATTTAGATGTGGGAGAAGGGGGAACAGGAGTACCCCAAGAAAACCAACTTTCACTGGTCATGCAATACTTTAATAGGTAAATATGTGAGATACTTTGTTTTATTTTTGTGGATCTTAACTATCATGCAGTTTAACTTAAAAATATTTCATTTAAAATGAAGTCAAAAGCAGTCCAACACTAACTGAAATTAGCAGAAAAACATTCAAATAAAAGTCATTATGAATGCACAACCAACATTACACAAAGTAGTTCAGACTATTTCACTTATATTGTACTTTTTAAATACACATATTTTGTTTACCTGCATATTGCTTTACGTCATCAATGACATCTGTTCGTTCAATTTCTTCTAGAAGATCGAAAAGCTTTCCAACAGTATTAGAGGGCTGTGAGTCTGTCCACTGAATCAGTAATTTAGCAAAAGGATCCGAGGTCATTTGAAAGTTCTGGATATCCCAGTAATCAAAGTTCATTAATTCAGCTACACCTCTAAAATCACGCATTAGTCCCGTTAATGTAGTTAACTCTTGTACGGGATTTAACATCCTTGATAAAATTCCACGAGTTCGAAAATTCAATGCTCCTGCTGGTATTGTATGAAAGTCTATCTTGGTGTTTGATGCCGACATCTTGGATAAATTTAATGTTTACAAGAGATCTTCAAAAACACTTCAGTAGTGAGCAATTCTGAAATAAAGAATTTGTGTAGTATTAGGCTTAGTATTATATATCAAATACAAAGTATGACTAATATACTGAACCATCCCAACCAAATATATATATATATACTCTGACTTCACGAGTAGAAATTTAACCAATACACATGGTAATCCATCAGGTTCGCAAGTTTTACATTAACACCAATACTTATAAAAAGTAATTTAACACTCAAGTATAATTCTTAACATGCTTATAATTGCAATTTTCAAAATAATTAACACACTACATCATATGTTCATAAATCATTTTCTGAAGGCTTATACACGTTAATTTCTTGTCATTTTTTGATACCGTGGTCAATAATGTTTTAGATGTCTTTCCACCCATTCTGAACATTTAGTTGTAGTAGTTTTCTGTGATATTGTAACAGCAGTATTTTATCAGGTGCTTTAATTAAAAGTTACAAATTTTGATATACCAGACTTGATGAACTAAAGAAAGAATTACTACGATGCAATAATACTGGCATAAAAGCTCACTTTAGATAAGAAGCCAATGCAACAGCTAGCTGATACTTACAGTTTTGTGCCTATGCAATCGTTAATATAGAATGTCACTCAGTATTCTTAAAATACGTTTGGATTTGGCTTCCTGTTAAGATGTTAAGTATGAAATATATATATCATTGTAATTGTTAAATCTGGTGTATCAAAATACATTTGGATTTGGCTTCCTGTTAAGATGTTAAGTATGAAATATATATATCATTGTAATTGTTAAACCTGGTGTATCAAAATACGTTTGGATTTGGCTTCCTGTTAAGATGTTAAGTATAAAATATAGATAACATTGTAATTGTTAAATCTGGTGTATCAAAATGCTTTGGATTTGACTTCCTGCCAGATATTTTGAAAATATTGTTCATCGTACAGATGGTATGGGAAATTAAGATGGGAATTAGTGATTTACTGGACAATAAAAGATGGTTTAAAATTCTTACTTTATCTCATGGATGGATGTAAGGATAGCCTTAATATAACAAACTGTCTGTGGTAGTTCATAAGTAATTGATTAGGTAAGCCTAAAATCATCTCATTATCTCTTCTCTCCACCTTTTTTAACAAGATAAGAATGTTATGAATGATACACAAGTTAAACATATCTTAAATTTAACCTAATGATGATAATGAGAAATATAAGAATATAAACTATAAATGAATCATCACAATAAAATGTACTGCTTTTTCATAAGGCAGTAACTATATGCAATAAATTTAAATTTTGATTACACAATAACTTCAAACTTCATTCGATTAATTTAATCACAACTATAACAAGACCAGTTATTAAGTTAACTAAAAAGAAAATTTTGCATACAAGTTACATAACTTTCAACTTTAATTTTAAAGTACGACTTTTACCAAAACTATCATTTTTATATATTTGCAAGTACTAGTAACTTTTCATAAACATTTGCTAAATAGTAAATATAATAATTGTAATATCGTTAATATAGTCTGCTGAAGTAGTGCCAATACTAATACTATACAGTATTGGTATATAACCACTTTAAAAATACTATATAACAGAATAATAATATGAACAATGAATTACTCAAATAGTAACAAGAACATTATCATTATATATTTCAATTATTTGAAAATATGATCGGTAAGCTGAGTACGTACACTAGTTTAAAATGTTCGTATTAGTATTAATAGTAACGACAAAATCGAATTTAATTTTTAAACTTAGTTTGATCCATACTGCCATTGCCTGCCTAACTTAAGCTAGTAGTAGTACTAATGACAATCGTTGTAATTTGTGCGTTCCAAGTAGGCCTAACCTTAATTAGCTCATTTTTTTAGTTTAAAAAAGTTTTTCTTTTACAATCAAAGCACCGCCTCAGAACTACGCTTCTAATAATATAACGATTTAATAACTGATTATTACCAAAGGTATAGTAATAGTATAAAGTTATGTTATCTTTACCACTTTGCTTCGAACCACCATTACAGATCTAAACACCGTACACGCACTTTAACACCAAAATTGCAACACAATCCACTAGTTGCCTACCACTAAGAAATTTTCCACGATACACATATGTTTCGCAATTGTACATGTAGAAGGGTTTTCCACGTAAAACTAGTTGATGCGTCATACGCCTACGTAACGCCGTTGTCTATCGAAGATCCTGTTAGAAAAGCACCCTTGCAATTTGTAATTCCTTATTTGTTTAGTCCTTATAATAAAGTTAAATTTTTGGATTCTCTGTTAAAACTAGAATTTATTTTCACATTTATTGCTTTATGACTTATATTAAAAGTGATTTTTTTATTGGTCACAAGTGGAATTAATGCAATAATGTGACTGTGTGTCTTCCGGTGAGACAGCAGTAAGCCCGTGGACTTAACAACGCTAAAATCCGGGGTTCGATTTCTCGATGTGAACACAGCAGAATAGCTTAATGTGGCTTTGCTCTAAAAACAAACAAACAAAGCGTCTGTGCACTTAATATCTAGGAACCTATTTGAGGCTAACAAACTTTAGAGACAGTTTGAATAGGCAATGAAGAAATTATATTTTCAAGTTCCAGTACTAGATACGTTAGTAAAAAAATAACTCATTACCCTTAAAAAGAAGCTTACGCCAAAGTTCTACATTAAAACATGAGGTTTGGATTAAGACATAAGCTTTCCAGCCCAGCTCTTCATCGGATGGAATTACAACACTAACTTAAAAATACGTTTAAAACATAAAAAATCAATCCTGTGATAAAATCACGAAATTATATACATATTGTTGCTAGGTCGTGCATCAAAAATACTGTAGACCTGATTATCCACTAAATCTACCTACCTACGATATATAAGTTCGCAAACCTTGTGGTGTTTTTAGATGATCTGATTTGAATAGAAACTTTGTGGAATAATTTGTGTTTGAAAGCTTGAGTGAGTCTTCTTGTGTCACAAGCTGTGTGTGAGAAATAACAAAACTGGGCGAGTTTATTAAAATGAATACAATCATTATTAAAAAACAAATAAAAAGAAAATGCAAAGTATGTACAAGCGCTTTTATTGGATGTGTACTTAGGTCCACAGTTTTTCTATCTCTCTCAAGATAGGTTTCTGTAGAACTAAAACAGAATGATTTTAAAGTATGGTGTTTACTTGAAAAACTCCCAATAGAACTGAACCAAGAAAACATGCTTGAATTCAAAAGGTAAGCTCTGTTTCTTTTTTCAGTTGCCAGCATTACCTCGACACACTTGTACTCTCACGGCATTGGTCAGCCGTAACATATCGACATAATCAATTTGACCAGAAAAGGAAATTACAGTCCTTGTTCCTATCGGGCAGAATAGGCATTATCCACTGTAGAAAACAAAGAAATAAGGCAACTCCAATGCTTTTCTGGACCACTTGTTTATGCTAAAGCTGTATAGAAACTAAATAAACGGAAAATTTATAACATTTCTATATAACTAAAGTAGGTAGAAAACATATGATATGCTTGCAAAAAAACTTTCTTTCCCCTTATCTATCTCCTCAAATTGACAATTAAAATGAGCTTTAAAAGCAATAACTTTTCAACTCGTGCCATGACCAAGAAACACGTTACCTATCCTTTGTTCCTAAGAACTTATATACACCAAATATACAATACAACTCTATAACAATGAATCGCACTCAAATGCAAGAGAAAACCCTTTAAAATTGTACAGTTAACCAAAAATTAATTACTAAACTAAATATAAAAGAAAAGGAAGAAAAATAGAATAAAAACTCTTTAACAAAACATATCTGATATAAACCTTTGACAATGAGTTTAAGCTATCCTGTTGTGATATGTCAACAAAAATGCAAACATTGAAATTACAGCCTTTAAATGTTGAACATAACATACATTTAATTCATATTCATTGCAACTAACAAGAAAAGGACAAGGATCCTTTCTTTAATAAAACAATCAAAAACAAAGTTTACTACGTATAAAACAAGCAAAAAATCATTAAACCTTTAAAACAAAAATCAACCTTCTAACATAGAAAACGTATTCTAAAAATGTATAAAAAATAAAGTTAATTTCTTCTCACTCGTGTATACGCATGTGCGCGAGCAAATAGTGGCAATGTATTTACACTATACCCAGGTCCATCCATCAAATACTAGAAAAACAAAGGAAATACGTTTAAAATACACACACTCTTTAACTCCATGCTCTTTCACACACAGGTCTGGTATGGCCAGGTTGGTAGGGCGATTGACTCGCAATCTGAGGGTCACGGGTTCGAATATCCGTCCCACCAAACATGCTCGCTCTTTCAGTCTTGGGGGCGTTATAATGTGACGGTCAATCACACTATTCGTTGATAAAAGAGTAGCCCAAGAGTTGGCGGTTGGTGGTGATGACGAGCTGTCTTCCCTCTAGTCTTTCACTGATAAATTAGAGACGGCTAGCGCAGATAGCCCTCGTGTACCTTTGCACGAAATTCAAACCAAACTTTCACACATGCCTGAAAGAACAAGAGTATTTTCATTATGTACAAAAACAAAATGAAATACACATATGCACTTACAAAATACACACAAAAACTGTAAGGCTCCTGTCGTCCAAATACACTCATGAGTGCAGAAGGCAGACAGCACTCGTTAATTACATTACCATAAAAAATATATTATAATAAATTAAATATATACAAAATGTACAGTCAGTCCAGATGGCAGTTGTGGCTTCACTTCACTCACCTTAACCCCATCAATAGAGATTCCAGTGTTACCAAAATCTTTTCAGTTGACGACCATGGATGCTTTGAGGTCTGTTGAGGTTGCGCTTGGCTTTGGCTAGCTTGATCTCCTTCTCATTGCTCAACAGAGGAGCGATCCTTTGCCCAGCCGATCTACTTTCCAGTTGTAGAGTTCTAGAGCCTCCATCCAATCAACTACCATCTCCTGACAATGGTGCTTGAATACTGGAATCAGTTTTATCATGAATCTGTTTGTTAGCACTTTTGGTGGCTTGTAAAGAGTTACACTCTTGGCCCCTTCTGGATTGTTTCTCATGGCCTCTTTAGTAGTGGTATCTCATTAGTCACAGCTGCTTACGTTCTTCAAGACCACCTGGTCAATAACATCGAGGTTGATGCTCCTTCATTAATGCAAGAACCATTGAATGAACCATCTCGCTCGTCTGCATCACTATCGCCTTGGTCTTTGGAGCTGACATCGAAGTCTTTGTTGGCGCTCTCCCCATCTCCAATTTCCTAAGACTTGGACACACCTTCAGACAATCCTAGTACTGGAATGCTCTTCTTTGGTTTCGAGGTGTAGTGGTTCCATCTGTTGTTTCATTCTCGAGGTAGTGCAACAACCTGTGATGGGACATGTTATCATCATATATGTGTCTCCTCTGTTTTAACCTCTTTGGGCAGTGTCCTGTGGACATAGAATCCACAGTTCTCGAAAACTTTTACAGCAAGAGTTACTCAGACTAAAATTCGTTTTAAAACTTAACTCCTTTAAGAGCAGGTTTATATATTTTATCATCAATATAACCGTTAAACTACTTCCTTTATCCAGGCTTTTGAACTGTGATGTTCAAAAACCAAGAGTAATTATATCTCTACCATATAAAGGCTCACACTCCCGAATACTGAAGAATAAATTAAATATCAAAATCAAATGAGTCTATCCTCAAGTTCCCTTTATATATATATATATTTTCAAATTTAAAGATCGAATTCACCTTCTTCAACAGTCAAGTGTCATTTGCAAATTCTGCTGCCAAACGTGTGAGGGCGCCTACGTCGGTTCGAATGTCATAAAACTAGGAGATTATTTAAAAGAATTCTCTAATCCAAGGTTCAAGGAGAGCTCAAACATTGTTTGACATGCTCTAGGTGAATGTGACGTGATCCCATCACATAAAATTCTCCAAGTAACTGGTAAAACTGAAGGATATGTTACCAGTGAAGAAAATACTTCTGACTATTCAAAAAAAGAAAAAAAAAGTCGATATTAAACAATCAACAAAGTACTACTGAACTTTTCCCCCACAATTTAGGTATTTAAAACTATTTTAAAATTTTCACACTGTATTGTGTAAGTTTAAAGTCTACGAGTAAAGGTCTCCAGGCGAAAAAGCGTGGCACTTATTTTGTCAGTTTTATAGAGATGGTAGGACATTGTGCATAATACAGATCTATTAAATATTGGCATAATGTTTTCTATAAATTCACTTTCATGGGTAGCTTTTCATATTAATGTAACTATTTTGCAATTTGTACATCTAGATGTCACGGAGATTTGGGCCACACCGTGAAAGTTTATTGGTGATTAAAGTTCGGAAAGTAGCTACGAAGGCAGAAGCAAAAAGGAAAATTGATTGTTTGTTTGTTTGTTTG